ACATGGTAAAGGGGAGGAGGGAGCACTGCTATTTTAGAAAGAAAGGTTAGAAAAGGCCTTTGTGGAAAAGCCACATTTGAACCGACACCCGAAGGAGGTGAGAGAGGGAGCCGTGAGGATGTCTGAGGGAAAAGCAAGAGGGAACGGACAGCGCAAGGGCCCAGAGGCAGGAATGTGCCTGATATGTTAGAAGAACAGCGAGGAGGCTGGTGTGGCAGGAGTAGAATGCATGAGGGGAGAGAGGGGGAGGAGGTGAGGGCAGGGAGGTGACAGGCAAATTGTGCAGAGCCTGGTGGGTTACAAGGACTTGGGTTTATCCCGAGTGAGGTAGGAGCCATGGAGAGTTCTGAGCAAGAATGGATATGCCCTGACTCGGTTGCTCACAGGTGCCCTTTGGCTGCTCTTGGGGGGAGTGGACTGGGAAGGGGTGAGGGCTGGACCACATGGGAACTGAGGAAGGGGGGAGAAGCAGGCAGGTTCTGACTGGGGAGTCCTGGGCAGAATTTTGGGGATCCACTTGGATATGTTTTGTTGGAGATGTTCGTCCAAATGGAGCTGTCCATGGGGCTGTTGGATACTCAGGTCTGGGGCTTGCTATGAGTTCTGGGCTGGGATGTGGTGCTGGGGAGCCCATCCTTGGTGTAAAGGACTCGGGAGAGCATGAGAGGGAGGCATTGAGTGAAAAATTTAGGAAGGACAGAGTCCCGAGGACCATAGCATGTATGGAGAAAAGAGGAGGAGCCCCGATTTTGGAAAATTCCCATCTGGGGAAGGCCATGCAGCAGCCGTAGGCTTTGAGAAGGGACCTCAGGAGCCTCACCTACCGTGATGGGTGGCGTCAGAGCCACCCCACCCGTAGCCCCGGTGTTTTGACCGTCCCCCAGCCTCCGGCACCTGTATTTCCTTTGCCCTGAAGCCTTTTTCTGGTCACTGAAGCATTTCGCCTGCCTAAGCAGCCGGCTGGAAGTGCTTGGGAATTAAGTCCCATCAGATGCAGCCCTCCACCGATTGATTACTGGTAAGGGTTGGTGGATACATACCCCAGCTTCCTCCCTCCGTGGGTGGGTTGGCTCTCAGGCATGTGCTCTCTGCTGCCTCCCAGAGGTAGCCGGCGGGATTGAATTTCCATTGCCTACATTGGGAAATTGTTCTCGTCATTTACTGGAGGGCTGCCTCTCTTTCCCCATTTCACTTCCCAGCCGCCCTGGTGGTGTTCTGTGGGGCTACCACCCAGGAAAATTACTTTTATCCAGATATTTCTCTCAGCATGTCCTTCAGGAGACCCAAATGAAGACGCCTACTGGGTAGGGACTGAGTAGGGGAGGGGGCGCCAACTCTGTCTTTGTCCCTCCACCCACCAGGGGAGTTTGAAGGAGGGGTCCCCTACCGAATCACAGTGACAGCAGTCTCTCCTTGCGGCTTGGCCCCTGCCCCCTCAGTCTGGAGGTTCACAGAGGAACTAGGTAAGTGGTGGGGCTGGAGAATGGTGGAACCCTCTAGAACCGTGACAGACCTTGACCCCCTGGCTTCCTCCCCAGTGCCCTTAGCAGGACCAACACTTTGGCGACTCCAGGACACCCCGCCAGGAACCCCCGCCATAGCATGGGGAGAGGTCCCAAGGCGCCAACTTCGGGGCCATCTCACCCACTACACCTTGTGCGCACAGAGTGGGACCGGGCCTTCTGTCTGCATGAATGGTGAGCTTCACTGCCCCTGTCCCCTGCTCCTAGCCCCCACAAGACCCACCCATCAGTCTACCCAACTCTTGTCCCCAGATTGGCCCCTTGGTTCCCTCTCAGCCCCTGGGAAAATAACAGGGTGTCCTCAGCTCCCTAGTGGACAATAATCCTGTGGCTATCAATATAACGAACTGCCATTTGGCCATTAAAAATGAAGACTTTGATCTATATTTATTGACATTGAGAGATGCCTGTCATGTTTTATTAAGCGAAAAAGATAAAAAGATGACAAAACTCCAAGAGATGGTTCCATTTCTGTAAAAGAAACCCAGCACTGAGCAAAGGAGAGGTGCAAATATGGAAAGAAATTGTGCACCATGTCAACAGGATCACAGGGTTATGTGTGATTTTTATTTCAAGTATGTATCCATCGTTAGATTAAAAAAAATTTGTTTTAATTTTAGAGAGAGGGTGCAGACAAGGCAGAGGGGTAAAGGGAGAGAGAGAGAGAGAGAGAGAAAATCTTAAGCAGGCTCTGTGCTCAGTGCAGAGCCCGACGTGGGTTTCAATCCCATGACCCTGGGATCATGACCTGGACTGAAATCAAGAGTCAGATGCTAAACCGACTGAACCACCCAGGCACCCCTTACGTTTTTATATTTATATGTTATTAAATATATACACATGTATGTATTATGATTATTTTTAAAAGAGGACCATGTACTGGGGCACCTGCGTGGCTCAGTTGGTTAAGCATCTGACTTCAGCTCAGGTCATGATCTCGTGGTTCATGAGTTCAAACCCTGCATTGAACTCTCTGCTGTCAGTGCAGAGCTCACTTTGGATCCTCTGTCTCCCTCTTCCTCTGCCCCTCCCCTGCTCATGCTCTCTCTCTCTCTCTCTCAAAAATAAATAAACATTTAAAAAAAGGGCGGGGCGCCTGGGTGGCTCAGTCAGTTAAATGGCTGACTTTTGATTTCCGCTCACGTCATGATCTCATGGTCCTGAGTTCGAGCCCCGCATCGGGTTTTGTGCTCACAGTGTGGAGCCTGCTTCGGACCCTCTGTCTCCCTCTTTCGGCCCCTCCCCGGCTCATTCTCTCCCTCTCTCTCCTTCTCAAAAATAAATCGATGTTAAATCGTAAAAAATAAAACAAAATAAAATAAAATACCATGCTACAGACTATAGTTGGGCCCCTGAATCTCTTATGACTGTGATATTTTGCAACTTTATTTTTTTCACCTGCTGATTTGGCTTAGACGTTTTCTATGGCAATATATCTGGATCCGTGCTCATGTCTCCTATTATCCTGTAACAAACCAAAAAGCTACTTCCTCTTTTAGCTTAAAAACAAAAAAGACAATTTAGTAAAAAAAAAAAAAAAAAAAAAAAAAAAAAAGTAGACAAACATAGCTCTGGGAGGTGCACATGTCTTCCCCTTATCTGGAGAAAATCTCTATTCACTGGGATAATGTGCAGGTAAGGAATATGATGCTCATCCATTTAGTTTTTCAAATGTGTGTCATTTTTGAGGGCTTTCTGTGTGCCAGGCACTGATCTAGGTGCTGGGAATATGGCCCTTGTAGAGCTTTCTTTTTTCTTTCTTTCTTTTTTTTTTTTTAAGTTTACTTATTTATTTTGGGTGCCCGGGCGGCTCAATCGGTTTAAGCATCCGACTTTGGCCCAGGTCGTGAACTCATGGTTCATGAGTTCGAGCCCCGCATCGGGCTCTGTGCTGATAGCTCGGAGACTGAAGCCTGCTTCAGATTCTGTGTCTCCCTCTCTCTCTGCCACTCCCCCACTCATGCTCTGTCTCTCTCAAAAATGAATAAACATTAAATTTTTTTAGTAAATAAAAATAAAGTTTACTTATTTATTTTGAGAGAGAGAGAGAGAACGAGCACAGAGGAGGGGCAGAGAGACAGAATGAATCCCAAGCAGGCTCTGCACTGTCAGTGTGGAGCCCAGCACGGGGTTTGATCTCAGGAACCATGAGACTGTGACCTGAGCTGAAACCAAGAGCTGGACACTTAACTGGCTGAGCCACCCAGGCTCCTTGTGGAGCCAACTTTCCTGTGGTCAGGGAGGATCTCACTGAGGAGGTGAAATTTGAGCAAAGAAGGCTGGAGTCATGTGGGTATCTGGGGAGAGTGTTGCAGACATAGAGAAAGCACATGCAAAGGCCCTGAGGTAGGACTTGACTGCCTCCCCAACCTCTCTGGGTGTGTCCTTCAGTGAGTGGCAGCGCCCGGAACATCACCCTGCCTGACCTTCCCTGGGGTCCTTGTGAGCTGTGGATGACCGCATCCACCATCGCAGGACAGGGCCCACCCGGTCCCAGCCTCCGGCTTCACCTACCAGGTAGAGGGGCTGGGGTTGGGACTACCACAGGAGGGAGCCTGCTCCATTTCAAGGAGATAGAGTGAGCAACCTTTTGACTTGGGGGTGGTTACTGATGATGCCTCAGGGGCATTCTGATCCTGCAGAGTACTCTGGATTATCAGGCAGTGTGTCTGATCCTTTCACCCATCCCTGACGACTGTTTTGTTCACAACCCTCCCTCCCACCCCAAGATGTCCCCTACCCTTAGCCCGTACCCACTCCTAAGCCCCGCCCACTTACCTGCCTCCCGCACACAAGCCCTGCCCCATCCGTGATCCATACCTGATCCCTCCCCCATCCCTGGTGTCTAAATGTTCTTCTGTCCCTCGGCCTCAGATAACACCCTGAAGTGGAAAGTTCTGCCAGGTGTCTTTCTCCTGTGGGGCTTGCTCCTGATGGGCTGTGGTATGAGCCTAGCCACCTCTGGAAGGTGAGGCTGTCGGCCAGGTGGGTCTCTGCACAGGTGGGGAGGGCAGCCGGACCCGAGCTAAGCTTTGCGGCGGGGTGGGGGGAGCCGATGGTGAGGGGACACTCAGGGCTCTGTGACGCTCCCGGACTCTGCAACCTGGGCCTGGGTATCAGGTCACCTAGATTCCCTGCCCTCTTACCTGCTTGCCAGGTGCCTCCACCTTCGGCACAAGGTACTGCCCCGCTGGGTCTGGGAGAAGGTTCCTGATCCTGCCAATAGCAATTCTGGCCAGCCTCACATGGAGGTGAGCAAAAAGGCGGGCTTACCTGGGCCCTCTGGGAGGGTGGCGGGTGCTGGGAGAGTGGGGAGCGGGTGGGAACAGAGCGGGGAGAATGAGGGGGGGCAGTATCTCAGTGTCTTTTCTTCCCAGGAGATGCCTCAGGCTCAGCCCCTCGGGGACTTCCCCATCCTGAAAGTGGAGGAGATGGAACCACTCCCGGTTGCGGAGCCCCCCCAGGCCTCCACCCGGCTGGACTCTGGGTATGAGAAGCACTTCCTGCCCACCCCTGAGGAGCTAGGCCTTCTGGGCCCGCCCCCAGGCCCCAAGTTCTGGCCTGAACCCACCACAAGCCAGGAGACGGCCGCTCATTTGACGGATGAAGACACTGAGGATCAGGGAGGCTGAGTCACTTGCCTGAGGACACCCAGCCAAGGACCCCTACAGCAAAGGGCCTGGCCCTACGGGGGCACATACGGATGGATGAGGGAGCAAAGGAAAATGCATGACGTCAAGAGTGGCAGCCGACTCCCCAGGTCCGTCCCGTCCCGCTGCTGTAACAGAACTGGAGCCCGGCCTCCCCAGCCTCCCTCGCAGCTCGGTGCAGCCACGGACCAAGTTCTCGTCCACGGAACGTGAGCGGCAGTGCCGCGTGCCGACGCCCAGACTGTTCTCTTCCCTTTCCCGTGAGCTGGAACATCAACAGTGCCCGTGATCCCGCTTTAACCACACCGAAGGGGAAGGTGAGGCAAGTAGGGGAAAGAAACCTGAGTCCCCAAGTGACCGCATGAATCAGAGCCACCCGGAGAAATAAACTTCTATGTTTTTATAGCTACGGTAGCTTGGGAACTTGCCACAGGAGCCGCGTATATCCTCACACTGGCTCAGTCTTTGATCCTAGCAGAGCGAGGCCTTGGACTTCCCACCAGGGGGCGGCGAGGTGGTTCCGTGTACACACACACACACACACACACACAGGGGACGGCGAGGTGGTTCCGTGTACACACACACACACACACACACAGGGGACGGCGAGGTGGTTCCGTGTACACACACACACACACACACACACACACACTGTCCGAATGCTTTAACGTTTTTATTTTCAAGTATAAAGGCTTTGTCGTAGAAGGGAGCCGGGGTCACAGGCAGTGGGCGAGGGGTCCGGAAGCCCAGGTGGAGGTGGACGAGCGGGCCAGCTGGCTCCCAGGTGCCACAGCCGGTCCCGTGGTGCCCTGTCTGTGCCCGGGACCCGCTGCTGGATGCCAAGAGGCCGAGGTAGCTGTGAGAGGAGCCGGGCGTGGGGTGGAGGGTGTGGGCTCACATGACCACACAACACTGGCACGTCTTTTGCTTAGGGCCACTTGCCTCTTCACCCTCGGGAGGGGCAGGTGGCTCGGGCTGCCGGGCAGGTGCATAGGTGGGCACGGGGCGGGCACTAGGGTTGGCCCTGGGCCCTTCCACCTGAAGCAGTGGCTGGCACTCGGCAGGCTTCTCTGGAGCTGGGGTCTCTGCCAGGAGGGGGGTGGTGGCGTCTCCTGAGGGGCCCTGGCCCTCAGCAGGGGTTTGGGGCCTTACAGATTCTTCCTCCAGGGAGCCTTCCTGTTTCTCCTGGGGCTGTGGTCCTTCCTCTTCCGGCCTTGACTCTTCCTTGGCCCCCAAGGAAGCCCCTGCCTCACTCACCTCTGCCTGACATTCCTTTCCTCCTCCGGACTCTCTCTGCTCTTCTGGACTCAGATCTTCTTCAACCACGTCAGTCTTCTCTGCCTTCAGTGACGCCTCCCCTCCTCTCTCTGCCTCCGATGGCGCCTCACCTCCTTTCTCAGCTCCCAATAGTGCCTCACCTCCTGTTCTCTCTGCTTCCGACGGCGCCTCACCTCCTCCTTTCTCTGCCCCCAGTGGCGCCTCACGTCCTGTTCTCTCTGCCTTCAGTGACACCTCCCCTCCTCTCTCTGCCTCCGATGGCGCCTCACCTCCTCCTTTCTCTGCCTCCAGTGATTTCTCGCCTTCCTTTCTCTCTGTCACCAATGGTTCTTCAGTCGCCTCTAGTTTTTCTTCATCTTCTTTCTGCTCTACTCGCAATGGCCCCTCACCTCTTTCCCTCTCTGCCCTCAAAGGTCCCTCAACTGCCTTTCTTGCGGCTGACGGTGGTTCCTCAACTGCTTTCCTCTCTGGCCTCAGCTTTCCCTCCC